CAGCCTGCTGGAAGTATCTACACCAGGAACCAAAAGGGCTCTCCTGTCTGTCCGAGTTCCTCTCAAGTTGGTTTGCTAATTTGCCCATTGTCTGGAAATGTATGAGAAACCATAAAAGGATGCTCCTGTTCAGAGTGAATAAGACAGTCACATGGAGAAAAGAGAATACAGGCATGAAAGGAACACATAAGTGGCTGAGGAATAGAAGGGAGACTTTAGAACCTCAGGCAATACAGCAAGCAAAGCTGGACTGTTGATTTGTCAATGACTACTGTTCCTGCCCTTGTGCACTGTGTGTGATGGGATCAGACCCAGAGGGAGCTGAATTCATCCTACAACAAACTGTGCTGACATAAGCCACTTTGCAAGATACAAACTTGGTCCTTGTGCCTTAGTTTGAAGTTATCCCCTATAAACAAGTGTTCTTCCAGAGTGACACTGAATTAGAAATTCAGTATGTCTAGAGGCTACACCAGACAGTGTAATTAAAGACATTACAATCCATTACTTGATTCCCTTTGCTTTGATTTCACTTTGGTTTATTTTCTTTCTTCATTTTGGAAGGGTCTGAAAGTCAAATTCAACTTTGTCATCTGCTCATGCTGGGAGCTGTGCTGTTCTTCTGGAAATGCCATGGATATGCTGGTAATGAGGTGCCAAAATCAGCAAGCAATATTCCCAATTTAAGGGCCAGTTCAAATAGAAAGGCAGTTTGTATTTCTGCTCCACAGGCACTCTGCAAAGTCCTTAGGGAAGAAAGAAATGTATTTTCTCCTTATTGGCTTGGCCTTTCAGTGCTAACAAGTCAGAATGAATGACAGGCATTTTTCAAAGCACAAAAGAAAAAAAAAAGTCAAATAGAGAACCGTGTGCTTTTTGTTTGTTTAATTTTGTATTTTTAATCACACTTGTCAGGTGTAGAACTGAAAGGACTCCTACAAAGACACTGTTTACTCAGACAATTGAAACACTTGAACCGTGGTCACGACACCTAAAGTTGAGTCAACCCACTCCAGTGTGTGTTAGTGATCACTGGGGACCATGTCTGCACCCACACGTGTCTCAGCTCCAGGCAGCCTGGTCAGACAGGCCATTTCAGTTGGGCACAATCATCTAAGTGCACCTAGTGACCATTACATGCAGAGACACACAAGCATCATGCTAACCAGCCAGATAATGAGCTCAGGTACAAGGATGTCTGGAACCCACCTTTTCCAAAGCATCTTCTAACTGCACGTCTCAAGCTTTGAGTGTCCAACCTAGAGTGGCTGATCTACAGGGAGAGGGTTGAGCATCACTTTCTCTATCTGACACCAATGGTGTGGGCACCTCTGCAAAAACTACTCTGGGTCAGTAAGTCTCACAGGCTTTGCTTGAGGTCAAGCAGAGTGGCTGAAAGTGCCCCAGAACAAACTCTGCTTATCTAGGCAGTGACAGGAACAGCTGAAGCATCCAGGAAAGGCTGTAGGGATACAGAACAGAGAGGAAAAGGTCATCTCTGAACTTCTCCTGGCCCTTTAGGAGCCTCAAAGGAAATGTCTTGACTTCTCCTCCCAATGTTCCTTCCCCTTTCTCATCCCACCTCTATTCTTAGCAGTCTTGAGAGCTGGAAAGAAAATATGGTTTCTTAATTACTCACCTCCTGTTACCTCAAATTTTGACTCAGACCACTCAGGGTGGTGGCAGAGGTTTTAACCTTGCATGAAGCCATTTGTTTTTGTTTACACAAAGACTGTTTTCCCATTAAGTAGGATTCCCTCAGCTACTGGGACACACTATAGGCATGAGATCAGTCTAGTTTGGAACCAACGATATAGCTCCTCCAAATCTTACATGCTCCTGAAAAAGCTCTGCCTTGCCCAGATCTTCAGCTTTGCACTCACGAGTGAGCACTCAGTGCCAAGAGTTACCTGTTTTCATGCTCCACAAATCCTGGTTTTTGGCATGATACATGAGAATCACACCAGAACATATGGCTTTTTCCTCCCTGCAGCATTCAGCAAGACCACTTAGGTTACACCTAAGGATGAAACTGGCTCGACAAGTTGGGCAGCTTTTAGGGCTGCTGACTGGGGAAAGTCACACCTGCACCGATGCCAGCAGACAGCAAGAGAAGACACCCAGTCCCCAGCTCTGCAGTTGGGAGTGACTTCCCATAAAAAAAAAACCAGAGGAAAACACTGTCGCCCTCCTTCCTTAGTCCCATTACTACTTACTCTATCTACCCCATCTAATCATTATGACATCTGAGTGCCTTTGTGTGTCAGCTTCCTGTGAAGTAATCACCTAAATCCCTCTTGGAAACAAAGCAGACCCTGCTGAGGAACTCACAATAGGTGCCTTTCACTCACAGGACAACCTTGGCCTCGGTGGCACTTCTAACAAAGCTTCCATATGTGCACCAGTATGGGCTGATCAGCCAGAGCAACACCACACAGGATCAGAGCCTGGAGAGATGTGAGCACGAAGCAAACAAGCCTCACAAAATTTCCCCATCTTCCTGGAAAATTGTGGGGTTTTTTCCAAAATACACTTCAGTACATTAGTCTGTACACAGCCTTTGTGCACCTTTGAGGTCTGTTTGAGGAGATAAAAGAGAAATACCTGCTTCATGGGCCAATGTCTGTTGGTTGGCCCCTCTCTCAGAGACTGCTGAGCTATTGTTTGCTCTTCCACCCCAGGCTAGGGCTACTTTTGAATTTTTCCTTTGGCAGTTTTTCCTTTGGCAGGTTTTCCTTTGGCAGGTTTGGCAGTTTTCTCCCCTCCCTGGAGGAGGGATCAAGGATAGTAAGTTCTGTTCTATTAGAAGACAAGTCAATGATAACCTTTGGGCATCTGCAGTGAAGAGGTATTTCTATAGCCCTAGCTGGGATTAGATGCATAATAGATCAAGGAAAGATCCCACCATTGGATGGTTACAGCATCATTCATTAGCCTTAAGATTTGAACCTGAATCAACAATTGAGTTAGAAGATTGAAAGAACTGCCTTCAGTATTTGAAATAAATTGTCACAGTCCTGTAAAAGTCCCCCGAGGTGTCTCTCTCTCTCTCCCTATACATATATATATAGATCACTTTTGCTGAACATTTAAAATTAGATGAAAGTTGCTGAGCTGCTAAATATGAAGCAGAAAAAGCTGAGCTACTTATGAAAAGTGAGAGGGGGGAAAAAAAATGTATTTTTAGTTTGCCTATCAAAGCTCTTCAAGAGCATTCTTGACTGTAGGATCCAGGCACTAACTTATTATTCAGTCACCATCTCTCTTGCACATAACAATGCAAAAGGAGCTAATAACAAACAGTGCCCCCTCCTTACAGACAAACACACACGCAGGCACTTAGGAATCACTTGTAAATGAGCAAACACTGATCCCATCCACTTTTGTTCCCACAAAACTAGGGCAAGCTCACTCTCAATTAACTGCTTGGTGCACAGAGCCCTAAAAAAAATTAACTACCCAGACGACTTAGACAGCAAGTTTTAACTCTCAGCTCTTTATCATCCTTTCATTTCTGGATCAAAGACCCATCCACTTACTACTAATTTGCTAAGAAATTAAACATGAAGGAAAAGAAAGTAATTTCACAACTGGGTGAAGAACGTTGTGGGCAGTTAATGATTAATTAGCATTATAATACAAGACAGCTTGGTTTCACAGTAGAAGCTTTTTTTGATAGCATTTTTTTTTTCCTGTAGAGGAAATGTTCAGGTTGTTGCAAAGACTATGTAAAGCATCACTGCCCAAAAGTTTCCTCCTTGTTTCTGAATGGCAGTTAATAGAAATAACTAAAAATGCTCTGTGGACCAGATGATCTTGAACCAAGACCCATGTTCTACAGCCCAACCAATGGAGCTATAGTGAGGGGTGGCTGCAGAGTCCCCTCCTCTGAGGACACTGCACTTAAGTGCTTGCCCACCTCCCAGCTCTGTGTCATCCCCACTTCCCCTTAGATTGGGAGGCAGAAAACCCAAGGCCAGATAACTTGGACTCATGTCCATCTCTCAGCACAGTTACTGGCTGATTTTGAGACAGGACCACCCTGTTGGGTGGTCAAGGAAAAAGTTCAACTCCCTACTACAGCTTGAACAACTTCTTCCTGTGACTGTTTCCTAGCTGTATAAAAAAACCACAGCTTTTCCTGTTGGCTTGCAGAAAACAATAAAACAACATCCAGATTTTTATGAAGTAGCTAGTGGTATTACTAGTGGTAGCATAAATACATGCCAAGCCAGCATGGGAAGATGAAGAAAGAGCATGACTATGGGAGGAACAGAGATAGCTTTCTATAGCAGATCATAACCAGCACATAATCAGCATAGTAAGATATTACAGTAAGGGGATTCTTTACATGATGAAAAAAAAAAAAATTGAGCAATTTCTCTGTCTGGTTTCCTGTCTGTGCTTATTACTGAGATCAGTTCTGAAGTCTCAGTTGCCAGTGAAAGAGCTCCCTAAATAATTTACTATCTGTGAATAATTAAAACAACTCCAAACAACAGTCAAAAAGCGACGCAGTCCAACTATATTCTACCTGTTGCCCTGAGGTTTCGGCTACTACTGTTGAAACTGAAGCCAGATGCTGATGTTTAATTTGTTGACACTGAGAAAATGAGAAAGTGTAGACATCCCTAAGCCTGCATCCTGTCCCTCCCTGACTGCCTGAGCTGTTAGTTTCTGCATAGTTGTTTATTGCTGATAGACATCAGCACCTGCATGTGCCACTCGGCAGCGTCCTGAGCTGCCAGCCAAGCCAGCTGTGCATGACATGACAGTAACTCCATGTTTTACATCTGTAAAGGCTGATTTGAGTCAGAAAAGGTTTGTAGAATCCAATCATTACAGTAGGGGATCTCTCAGACGAGTGAAATCTCTCATAGTGGCTCTGCAAAGCTCCACACACACAGCCCTGTCACGCCAGTCAAGTTATAAATAATAATCACACAGATGGAGTCTTATTTACTAGTAGTAAAAGATTACAATTGATTGAAGGTGCTCACCTGGGAGTTGCTGTTGGCTTCCAATACTTGCAGAAGAGATACTGGCCATCAGCATTGATGATATGGGGCAGGTCCTTGTACGGGATGTTTTGAGGACTCCGCTTTGGCGAACTCTCCTCTGGCATTCTGGAAGAATGACCTGCAAGGTGTTGGAAAAAACAAGATGTATTTTAGAACAGGTGAAGGGAAGATAGAAGCTGATGGGCTTGGAAACCACAGACATTCAACAAAGTCAGTCAGGCAAGCACCACGGATGGGAGTCTTCCTCTAGAACCCCAACCAAACACCCCCCAAAACCTACACTGCTTTAAAACATCAGTGTAGCATTTGGTGCTCTGAAAAGCGTTTTGGGGGAGAGCATTGGAAGGGAGGGAAAGGAGGGAAGCTCAATCCACCATCGCTACTTCATTACAGCTTTCTCTCCCCCTCTTCTCCCATCTGTGTTTATTTTGCATCATTTTGTGAAACAGATCCTAAAAAAAGCTTCGTTTCGCTGCAATCAAGTGCAGATCGTGCAGCAGCCGCCGCCGCTACCCCCAGGCAGCTGCATGGAGGCTGCATCTCCGGCGGAACAGCTCCCC